CCGGAGGCTGTCTTGATGGGCAGAGCAAGAAGCCTCCCAAAAATCAGAGCACAAAGATAAGGTTCGGCTCCAAAGCCGAGCTGTCACCAGCCACCCGACGTTTGGCCACACGGAAACACCTCACTACTGATTACAGTACTCAAGGTAACACTGAGCAAATGCTTTTTCTTTCAGATTATGCTGAACCTGAGCATCGGTTCGATTCTACCTTATTCCCTCTGTAATTTATGAAGTCAGGATCTGCTTTCATTTTGCAACTGAAGCTCCTCCAGCAGCTACTACGGTGATGCTAAAATTCAGCAAGCTGAACACAATAGAGTTATTATTCAAAACAGCATATTCTCCAGGTATTCCACACACAGTGAATGCAAGAACCATATTTCTGCTCTCAAAACGTGTATGCTACCAAGAAACCACACTTTGTGACAACACAGATGAAAAAGCACTAGCCCAAACTCAAGGTTTATTCCGCAGGGAGATCCAAACTCATTCTGCTGTACACGGAGAAGTTCTGCAAACAACGTGCAACCCAAGTCAATAAGCACTATGGAACATTAAGGATTAATTCAGGCTCTGAATTAACTGCCCTCAAAGTGCTGTATTTTGGGGTAGCATACAGATAAACCAGCATGTTCCTGCGAGCAAAGAGGGGGGCAGAAATACCTCGATGCTGCAGTAGGAGAGCATGATGCTCACCAGGTTTTGTCTGCTCACCCCAGCTTCCCACCAGGCAACTCAGCCCTGCTTCTGACCATTTAGAGATGGCATAAAGGGGAAGATATAGATCTATATTAAGGAAACCTATGTTACTGGCATGCTGACTTCCCAAGTTGAGCATTCATGAAAGCACATCATGGGTCTGGCTGCAAAGAGAGTAAGATTTGAAATACAGGACAGCAAAATATGTTGGTACCTCTGCATTTACCTACTCTGCTTACTTTCTACTTAATAGCACAATTTATATTCTTAAATAGGACCTGATCCTTAAGACATATTTAGAGGACTGTTCCTAAAATCATGGCTTATAAATGGTCCTATAAATGCCCTTTAAACCTTTTGTTTCTCAGCTTATTTTGTTAATACTTTGGTAACAAGTTTTTAGCCTAGCCAGAATAATACTAAAACAAACCTTCACCATCAGCAGTGCTTCATTAATGCTTCATAACATAGTAATCATGAAAAACAACCAGAACTCAACAGCACACTGAGATTTAGCACTGTAAAACCCAATTGCAGAGTAGCATCTCTCCTCATCCACAAAACCTCCCACGTTTAGACTACAGTATAGTCTAAAATATTATCAAGTCATACATAAACCGTATGACATAAAATATAAGTCTTCAAATAAACCCTTGCCAGTCTTTTGACATTTTTCAGTGTCCATATTGATTAAAACTCTTCAAAACAAGCATATTAAAATTATCCCCGTTTTTCTTGTCCTGCCAAATACATCACTTCATAAAAGAGACTTAGAAAACGTTTTCAGCTTAACTGCTTTACTCCCATAATGGATATTTTTGCTACACAGATATCAGCCTTCCCGAGATGTCCAAACTTTTGCCAGTGAAGAAGCACAATACTGGAGGCATTTAAGAAATTCCTTCTGGGATTCAAGGCAGTCCATGAAAATTCACTCATTAGGGACCCTTCAAGTGCCCAGATCAGGAATCTCCAGAAGGATAAAAATCTCTGACCTTGGTAAGGGTAAAACTCGGGAACAAACAACTCCAATTTCCAGCCTTGCTGTGAGACAAGGCTACGTCTGCTGGCGGAGGCGCAGCACCCCTAAGGACTGACAGGGGATTTTATACTGCGTTTTCCATGAAATCCAACCCCAAAAAAGAATCCTGTCCATGCTTAAAGTCGTGACAAACAGCCCCATTAATTCCATCTCTGGCCAGTTAGAAAGCTGCGAGGCAGGACCCAAAATTATCATCAAACTGACTTGAAAGAACTGGTGGGCAGAGATTATTTGTTTAACTTTGTGTCTCAGCGTTCCTGCCTGCAAGTACTCTCACCCTTTACGTTATGGCACTTTCAAACTCATATTCTAGTACTACCAGTGCTTCCAGGAGCAGGATGCTCATGGAAAAAACACCATGTAAATATAGTGGGATCAAGTACAGTTGTACTATACACCAGAGCACAGAAAAAAAACCCGTAACTCTATGTTTCCACTTTTAAACTTGAAAGAAATATAGTAAACACGTGATTACAGCAATTAAAACCAAAACATCTAGCCTGGATTAAAGAGATCCTCTTAATTTTAACCACGTAACAGGCTATTAGTTGCATAAACAAACGTGTCTTTAAAAGTAAGATCACAATTCCCTTTATTAAAACAGACAAAAAGGTTTCCCTACTTCCTATTGCAAAACCAATGCGAATACTAGCTTAGGTATTTCCTCTTCAGATGCTTTTTAAAGTCCTGACAAAAAGTATAATACCGACTTCTTTGCTACTGAAATTTAGCAAAATGAAACACTGGGGACCTCTTAAAGAAATAAATCAGTTCTGTTTTGCATAAAAAGGGGGCAGAACTGGCACAACATGGATTTTTTCATAGCCCTTTTTTCATATACGGTGTCTTCCTCACCACAACAGCTCTGCAGAACACAGTGTACAGCACACATTGTGCCTCGTCATGAGCTGACAGCAACCGAAGGGAAGGGGAACCAAGTTACAAAACGAAGTATTTTTGCCTCTGTCTGGCCGGGAAGATAAATGATCTTGGTGGTATTAAAGAGAAATGGGATATGGGGATCCAAAGAGCTCATTTTGCATTAACTGCCATCTCCCCAACAAAACCAAGAGAAAGCAATTTCCTGGTGCATCAATTCCACCAGCAATTCCACGTACACTCCCAAGTCAGAGACGCTGGCAAGCTCGCACTGCGCACCTCCTGCTAGTCTCAGATATCTAACAAACCAACTGCTCCCTATTCATTTCCTATTTTAAGCTAGGTTTTTCTCCCCCCCCCCCCCCCCCCCCCCCCCCCGACATGCAGATACGCCCATACAAACCAATCAGCTGTAATAAACATATTCCTGCAAGTTAACAGCCTTTCAAATGACTCCAACACAAAACATCAGCTCCCCACAAGCATAAGTGAAGCACTCCCAAATACCACCCCAGTCCTTTCACCATCCCAGGGCGTTTCAGAGCCATTACCCTTCCTGTTATTTTAAGGCCACATTCCCTCCTTGTCAACCCCTGTCAGGATCTGGAAACTCTCGTCATTTCACATGCAAAAAAACTCTACTGATAGAGTTACGATGGAAGAGAAGTGAAAGCACATGAAGCATCATAAACCGTCCCCTGATCCATTTACTCCACTAGACCAGCAAAAAGATGCAAACCTTATTTATCTTTCCATCCTCCTTCTCAATGTCTGTATTTATAGGGCATTAAAATCCTGCTACTCCTAAAGAAGACTCCTTTTTACTGCAACTCCAAGCCAGTTCTAAATATCCGTTCACACTCCTTGCCATTAGTTACGAAACCACCTCCCCTCTTCTTGACCTATTCTCGTTCATCTACTGTTATTTAACTCTTTAAGGCTATTTGAGAGTCGCAGCGTCACTAATCATGATGTAATTCTTAGGAATACATTGCATTTTATGTTTCTGAATAGCGCAATAGGCACGTACACAGCAAAGACCACAGATGCAGGGGGGTTTCACCCCTCCTACACTTATTCTAAACCAAAACACATTGGCTATCTAGAACAGCAATCTCTCATAGCCTTTTTCATCTCCCCAGCCCCGGAATCTTTAGCAGTGCAGAAATCAGTGTAATGAACACAAGCCTATAGAGAACACACGTCCTTTGCTTCCTATTGACCCCAGAGAAGTTGTTTGCAGGCAGCCGGGGTCCACTCCCTGCAAGCCGCAAGCCACTGATCTAGAACCGAGTATCCTCTTACTGTTTGTTCTGCTACCCGAGAGCTTCCATTAAAACGGCATGACGTTCCTCGGCTCCAAACCGACCAGTCTTTTACACGCAGCCTATAACACCCGTTCCTCCACAGCTTCCCATGAAACCCCATTTCCAGGAACAAAAGTCGTCGGACAACGAAACACCGTGGTTTCAGACACCTCGTTTTGCCGCAGATTTGGACGCGGCACAAGTCCTTCACGCTAAAGGCTGCCCAACCTACCTATAAATAGGCTCAAAGCTTCAGGCTCAGGAGACCGACAGCTAAACACGATCCTGCGCTACCTACGTGTGCGACAACGCCGGGGCAGGCAGGTACGCAGCTGGTTTATACCGGAAAAGGGGGGGGAATAGACAGAAAAGGATTTAAAGCACCGATTGGGTATAGCCAGTTGTGCTCTGGAGAGGAATGCCTCTCACGGTGCCATGGCTTGACCCACGAGGTTTAAGGGGCCCAAGGGTGGGCGCAGCCCGAAGGGGGCAGAGGGTCCCTGCTCCCCGTTCCTCCCCCCTAGGTCAGGAGGGGGTCTCGAACCCGTGTCCCCCGGTCACCCCCTCTCCCGGCGTGGCTAACAGCGGCGGGGCGAAGGGGGTTGGTGGGCGGGGCGAGTCCGCGTGACCGGCTGAGCCGGCGGCACGTGGCCCCGACCATAACAAACAGGCGGGTGGGCGGGCGCGGGGCTCGCGCCATGCCAAGGGCGGGCGGAGGGGAGCGGGGGGGGGAGGGGGGAAGCGGGTGAGCAGCGCGGTGATTGGTCCGGAGGGGCGCGGTGGGCGTGGCCTCACGGACTGGAGGGGGGGGGGGGGGCTGTCCCGCCGCCTTGCTGCAGTGCTGAGGAGGCGCCAGGCGGGGGCCGCGCGCGCTTCCCGCCCAAAGACCAACACCACCCCCCACCCCCCCTCCGTTACCCCCCCCCTCATGGCCGGCCCTCGCCCTCACACCCGCAACACCCGCGGGCCCCGCACCGCCGCTGCCCCGCTCCCACAGCGCCGATTCCCCCCCCCCCCTTCCCGCTTCAGCAGCCTTCCCCTCACGCCGAGCGCTTCGCCCCGCGCCCCTTCACGCGCGCACCCACCTGTGGGGCCGCCTCCATCACCCGCGCAGGAGCTGCGGGAGGGGACGTGCTAAACAGACCCCGCTGCCGGCGGCACCGCCTGTGTCACGGACCCGGGCGAGCGGCGGCGCGGCCCGGCCCTCCCCGCCCTCCTCCTCCTCCTTCCCACCCCCCCACCCCCCCCGTTCCCCTCCCGCATCTTGTTTTCTCCATACGCACTTCGAAATGCGGACCGGCCCCCCCCCACACCCGGGGTGTTTTGGGGGGGAATCGGTGCTATTTTGGCTCCATTCGGGATACCCACGCAGCGAGGAAAGCAACGCAGTCCCGTCCCTCCTCACACACACCCCCCTCAACAAACCGCAGCTCGGCTGTCACTTGGCTTTTCCCCCGCACACACACACACACACACACACACATCGCGACAGGCAAGCCCCCGCCATGTCGCGACAGCGGCCCGCGCACCTGCCGCGCACCGTCCGCCGCGCACATACCCATATAGTTGCTGCCTCCTACCAGCGGGCAACGGGGGATGCTCACCCGGCTTCTCCCTTCCCCTTGCGGGAAGGCGAGCGCTGCCCGCAGCCCCTGCGGAGCACCCGGGCCGGGGGTGCTCGGTGCTGGCAGCCCAGGTGCGTGAGGGCTTCAGCGGGCGGGGAGAGCAGCGGCGAAGGGAAGAGGGCGGCGGGAGCCGGGATGGATCGAGCCTCCCTTTCCCTCCCTTTTCCCTCCTCACACCAACCACCCCCTCCCCCCCCCCCCCCCCCGCCGCTTGTGTTTACCTCAAGTTTGAATTTTATCTGCGCAACATGAGCTGGAATGCGGACATGGAGGGCGCGCACCCGCCCCGCCGCTCCGCGGGGACACGCGGCACCCCGGCTCCGTCCTCCCGCACGCACGCACCCCCTCAGCCCGCACCCCGACACCACCACCCCGCCGCTCCTCGCACCGCCACCGCGCAAACATGGCGCGGGCGCCGCGCACCGCCACCCCCTCAGGCGGGCCCCCCCCCTCTCCCCGTCGCCCTCCCCAGCCCGCGTCCCGCCGGTAACTTACCTCCGAGAGCGGCCGCTGCTCCGCCGGTTACTAGTCCTCCTCCGAAGGGGGACGGTGCCACACAGCAGCCCCATCAGCGGGGCCGCCGGGCGCCGAGACAGGTGCAGGCGCGGCGGGCGGGCCGGGGTTGGGACCCGGGGCGGTCCCGGGGAGGGGGGTACCGCTTCTTCCCCGCCGCCTCCCCGACCGCTTCCCTCCCTCCGCACAACGTTGTTTCATTATATCATGTCCATCATGTGACGCCCGGAGGCCTCTCTATGGAAACTTAAAGGGGACTTTCATGTGACGACGGACACCGCGGAACGGACCCACCGCCTACGAACGCCGGGCAGCCCCGCAACTCACCCGCACCTCCTCACACCCCCACCGCCCTCAGCCTTGCGGCTCAAGGCGAGTAGCTGCGCTTGCTTTGCTGTCATTATTGCTGGTAATGAGAATAATTAGAGCGGGTTGTTTCGGGTTTCCTCCTCTCTTTACACCGCTGGTCGCTAACGGGAAACAACCGAACGGGCGCTTCTAAGGGGTGGACCCCGCTCCTGGACGGTGCGCGACATGGTGCACGGCGGGTGCTGGGACCGGTTGGGACATAAAGAAATAGAAAGAAAACTGAAAAGGTAATAAAAAGGGGGGAGGGGGGGGTGAACATTGTTTGTGCGAGGCTGAGGCTGCTGGAGACGGGAGCGATGCCGTGCGGAGCGGCCGGAGGCGGTGGTTAACCGCCGGTTGGTGGGGGAGCGGTTCCCCGCTCTCACCTGTAACACCGCCGGTTCTCCACGGAGGGTTGCAGGCGCTGGAAGGAGCCGTACGCTCGGCACTGCAACAGCACAACCCCCGTGTACAAAACAGAGGAGCGAAAAGGGGAAGAAAGGAGCCGTTTTCCGCCCCTGGAGCAGCCCCCGGGGTCCCGCCGCCTGCCCGCGTTCCTCAGGCTGCTGTTCCGCCTGCGGTGCTGAAGTGGGTTTGTTTTCCCAGCTGTCCTCCTGCCCCCAGGATTTTGGATGAGATCTGGGACGTGAAGCCCACCAGCTCCAGCGCCAACCCCCTGCCTGGCGGTGCGCAGGGGGTGCCGGGTTTTTCTCTATGGAATGTAGTGCACGTTTCCCGCGGGAGCTCCCCTAATTCTGCTCCCGAAACAGGGGGATCACAGTGGTCAAGTGCAAGGTTTGAGGGTCTGGCTTGTAGGGGGGATGGATTTGCTGTTAAAAACTGAAGGATGACAAGGTGTCACTTTCATTCCCTCTTTACCGCTTCCATGGAAGTCACAGCCCCCGAGCAGATTAAAGCATGACCCACAGGTGTAATAGATTTTAACTCTGGAATTTCAGTTCTTCAGTGTCCCACCGAGTTTTCTCTGAGGGAGTCATTTAATCAACCACTTCACTGCCTGCAGGTTGACACTGATGCCTGTCACATGTACCATAAGCCATAGGAGTGACCAGAGCTGCCCAGACGGACCGCCCGGGCCCAGTCCTGGTATTGTCAGCAGGTAAAATCCCTTCACTCTCCCATTAAAGCTGTTGAAGTACCTGTGCTCCAGCTGACTCACTTCCGAGTGCCTGTGCACTATGTATGTATGTATGTAACTGTATATAGATACCTCTGTTATTATTTTTCAAGTTTTACAGGAATTTTGTAGGAATTATGAATTATTTTAGCTCAAAAGAGTTAACTGAGTGAGGAACAGCACATCCTTCGTTCCTTCCTTCTTCCTAGAGTCTTTCCTGTGTCCACCCTACACTCCATCTTTTTTTATCCATCCTTTCCCATCCAATTTTGGGAGGATTTCTTCTTCGGGGTTCCTTTCTACCATTTTATCCAGGTTGTCCCACTGCCACAGAGCCAAGCTCCAGCGTGCCTCACTTCCCGCAACCCTGGGCCTTATTTCCCCACCTCACTACGCCTCTTTTTATTCCATATTCCCATCTCCAGATTACCCTTAAAGGAGAAAGAAGCTGGAGCTGGGATATAAAGTAGTCTTCTAGGAGTACTGCCAGAACCGATCTGTTTTTACTCTGCTGCTGCTGCTGTTGCTGTTCTGCTGTGTCATGGGAAGAGAGTTACCTAGCCCACACCAACCCTCAGAAACAGCAATGAGCCACTTGCTGCAAACTCGAGCTGTGTTTTATAGGGCTGAAGGATGAGTTTTCCTGGTGCAGGATTTCAACTGGAAGAAGAAGGATTCACTCCCTTGCTGGGCTCCGACAGGGACATCGCTGTTGGGAGACTTGCAGGAGGCAGAGTGGCGGCGGCAGCACTGACAGTGCAGCATCACACAGCTTTATTTCATGTTGTCGAGGCAAAATGCTTTAGGTTACAGCTGAGGAGAAAAGCAAAACGATCCATTTTTGTAAATAGGGTTCTTTTTCCCCAATTTACTTTAAATTCTTGAAAGGTCTTGTGCTAAGAAAGAGCAGGAATTCTGCCTCCTCTTAAAAAGCATTGTTATAAAATCTTTACAGTCTCCTTCCACCTGAGCCTGTTTCCTTCAAACTCTTGCTTTCAAAAACAAGAGGTTTAAAGGTGACTCTTCTCTTTCCCTTCCTAAGTTTATGTTCCTTGGAAAGGCCTGAATAAGCCAAAGGCTGTGTCTGCCTGTGAATGAAGAAGTTTTGAGTAAACACCAGCATGCACGTATACACACATGCACAGGATTTAAAGCATCCCATTGAAGTGCACATATAGGAAAATCTTTCATCATATGGTAGGCTTTAATATCTGCCTTAAAATTAATCCCTGACTGATGGACTCTGTTGTGGCAGATCACAGGAGGCTCAGTACTGAGGTTCTCTGCAGGGTTTTAAAACAGCCAAATAAAATCCCCCCATTTGCTTTTGGGTTAATTTGTGGTTTAACAGCAGCTACCTGGGAAATGCTCATCTTGTGAGAGCAAGTAAGAAAACTTTATAAGGCTCCAGTCCTATTTTTCCACAACGAAATAAAGACCTTTCTTATGGGGTCAGGACAAGATCTGATGCTATTCCACGAGGAAATGGTTAAAGCACCCTGCAGAGTTCTTCAGTTCCTCTGTTAGAGGTAACACCCCTGGGCTTTATTAGAGCTCGAGCTTCGGACACGGTTCTGGTTACTTCTCAGCATTGTCTTTGCTTCATTTTGGTTAGTTTTTGTCACTGAAAACAAATCTTCTCGTTTCACTTCTCTTTCTAATTTATTTCACTCTTTAGTTCCCACATGTTAGAAAGTGCAGTTTCATTTCGGCTCTTGACAGCAGAAAGCCCCATTCCAGAAAGCAATTTTCAGCAATGTATTTGCTTTGCCACTCACTGCGCAAACAGATCTAAGCATAAACAATGCTGACAGGCCCTCAAAACCAAGCCCAAATTGTGAAACTGGGGCAAATAGCCTAGAGAACCTGAAATGTTTTGGGTTTAAAACACTGCCTGCTGTCAAAAAGAGGGTAAAATAAAGCTTTGTTTACGTGTAGAGCTCAGTGTTTGTTGATCAAGTTTCTAAGGTGATGTAGCAGGAAGTACTGATCTTAGGCAAAATGACATGAACAAAGCATGAAACTATAATTCAGCAGCTATTTGTCAACTAATAACAGGAAAATAAAGGATGTTTAAAAAGCCGTGAGGGGTTGCCATTGAACTTTTACTCCTCCTTACTGGTGAATATAAAGGCAGCCTCTCACCTGCTCTGCTTCTGTATATAACTGTTTGCAAGAGTAGAGTTATATCACTTGTCAGGAGGAATGATTCCATGGGATGCAAATACTTAGACTAGCTGCCCTTTCTACGTCATGTTACGGACGAGACTGATGCTCGAGCAAGGTTATAATGTACCTGCATCTTCTCCAGCTTGGTGCCAAGCTTGCTGAGTCATTTTCCCTGTTCCCATTCTGCAGTCGGCTGCTCGCTCGCTTTTCCCTGTTATTTGTGTGGGTCGTAAGCTCAGCAACAGATGAAAATAAACGCTGAGATTTCTTCAGGCTGCCTCCCTAAGGAAATAAAGGTTCTGCTGTGCCGCTTCTCTGTTCACATCCATGGCCATCCCCCTCTCCCCAAAGCTTCTGAACCCATTAGTTAATTTTGGATGAATTTGGGGGGAAAACGGGTATTTCGAAGACACACTCAGATTCCTGCAAGTTGCACACGGGCAGGAGGGAGAGATCTGGATTAGAAATTGAAGCAGAACTTAGCCATAACACGTCAGGGCTGTCAGCCACCTCCCAGCCACCCAACCCGTGTGTGCCAGCTGAGTAACCTATACGTAGCTACACCACTCTCATGCCCTGCTTGGTGTAGTTTTTGCTGTCAGGCAAGAGATATCCTAAAGAAGCAGAGGAACCCAGATAGTTGAGGGAATGAGCTGTTTTCAAATCAAAACAGTAGAGGTTTTTAAGGAATACCACTGTATGCAAGGGAAAAATTAGTGCCTGGGAATGCATTTATGGAGTTTTGGGGAACGATCAAGCTTTTGTGTCACTCTCAAAGCAAACCATGGCAGAGGATCCAAGTTGGGCTGTTCTTTGAGCTGGCACAGCTTTTCAGTCTAGTTGATCTTGGCACTAAAGCTATAGGCTAGGATCCCCTATCCACACCTCTTCCAGATGCTGTCAGTAGATGTGTTGCTGCATGAGATGCCTACATCACCAAGAGAAGAACAGCCCCAACCACAGGCTTCACCCTGCTGAGTCGTACAGCCCCATTCTCCCATCTACCTTTGTGGTCCAGCCTCTCTGCAGCTGACACTCAGAGAGTGTAACAAAGCCTGGGGTGTCTCCTTATGGATAGAAAGGGAACGTGCTGAGTTTCTACCTAGGCTGGAGCCCTCCCGACTGCCTCACCAAGATTATGGCATGGTAGAGCTTTATGCCTGCATTTCCACCTCCAGTTGTGCTGGGAGGCAAACACAGGGATGATGGTCATGCCAGGACCAGAGGACAGGATCAGACCCATTCCTACCTGAGAGCACAGGCTTAATTCGTACATCTTTTCTCTCCCAGCTGCACCTTGCTGGGGCCAACTCCTGCAGGACAGCCATGCTAACACTGCATGTAACATATGCTCTCATCTCAATTGCAATTAGTTTGATGCAACAAACAGTTTTAATGTGACAAACTGCAAGCTAAAAAAAGCTGTGCCTTCATGTGCATCAACTGGGTGAACAAAATACGTGTTGTGTGTCATCTCCTTATGTCCCGTATTTGTTCCTGCAGCAGTAACAAATGGCATATGCTCCAGGAATACCACACAGGCTGAATGGACTCCTGGAAGTACAGGAGTGATCTGGCACTGGAACTCTTTAAAACTTGTTCAGCCTGGAGAAGAGAAGGCTCTAGGGTGAATAACAGTCTCCCAATACCTTAAGGGGCTGACAAGGAACCTGGAGAGGGGCTTTGGACAAGGGCCTGTAGGGACAGGCCAAGGGGAATGGCTTTAACCTGCCAGAGGGGAGACTGAGATGAGACATTAGGAGACAGAGAAGCTGTGGCTGCCCCATCCCTGGCAGTGCTCAAGGCCAGGTTGGACACGGGGGCTTGGAGCAACCTGTTCTAGTGGAAGGTGTCCCTGCCCATGGCAGGGGTTGGAGCTGGATAAGCTTTAAAGTCCCTTCAACCCAAACTAATCTGGGATTCTATGATACTATAATAATAGCTGTTCTACCATGAGATGCTGTTACAGACCTCTTCTGGAAGTAAGACTTTTACATACAAGTTAAGGCTCGTTAACCTCTGATGATTATACAACCAGAGCCAGCCTCTCCATCAAGGAGCACTTTATTGTCTGTTTCAGCTCCTAGACACCAACTGGGATCAGGTGCCTTGCTTTCCAGGACACTCTATAGTCATACCCTAGGAGATCACCTTTGCCTTGAAGGGCTTACAAAACAAAAACACAACAGAGTGAGCAATGTGACGCCCAGGCAGAGCAAACACGGCGACCTTTTGCAAATGTCAAGTTAATACCATGATCTGGAAGTGAAAGGGGTTTATCCGACCATGGATGGATCAATAGGGATGGGAGACACTTGGGGTTAGGGGGGTGAAGTGAAGGAAAAGCCATGGAAGAAGCTGTTTGGTATGAGATGGAGAGGAAGAGCACGCAGAACATTCTATGGCCAATTGCCACATCCAGGATAAAAAACAGGGAGGAAAAATGGGTCTGATGACCGTGCCCCCAGTATAACCAGCTCCTGTCTGTAGCCTCTTTCCCAAAGGCACACTGCCTGGAGAGGGGAGATGGAGAAGGCAGGGGGTAGACAGCATGGTTCCTCCTCAGTGCTGGTTCTGCACAGGCGGCCGGAGGTGTGACAACCCTGTTTTGGGGTTGTTTCTCACTGAGGCTCAGCCTCCTGCAGCTGTGTTTGTTGCAGCTGAGCCTCAGGGCTGCAGTGAGATGTAGTTCAGTGCTTTAAGTCCAGGGCAGCACATAATTGAATATTAACAGGAACAGCTCCAGGAGCTACTGGGACTCAGGAAGTCACAATTCCTCCTCCGCTGCTCCTTCGTCTTAGTGGGAGGTGATTGCTGGAGGCCTTAATGGATGTGAGACATAATATGCTTCCCTCACATTAGCTCCAGTTAGCAAACCTAGGCTTTAACCACATCCTACCCTCTCTGCTCATTTCCTCATGCACCTTTTCAGCAGCAACACATGAAGTGTTCTAGCTGCAGCCACCTCAGTGTCCCACAGGTGACCAAGCGGAGCAGTGCGGAGGCTGTATGAACAGTGATTTTATACCTTATTTCTCCAGTGAACAAAGGGGGTCTCATCTTTAAGGCTTATCAAAATTTGCCTAATAGAAATGATTTAACTTTTTGTTTCATCCTTCTGAGAATACACATTATTTTTTTGCTGAATGAGGATGCTATGAGCATCTTAAAATCATAGAATAGTTGGGGTTGGAAAGGACCTTAAGATCATCTAGTTCCAACCCCCAAAGGTCTGTAAAGTGATTTTTGCAAGGTCTGTAAAGTGAGTTTTAAATTGAAAGCCATTGGTATCATGCTTTTGGTAAATATTCCAGGTAAAATACAGCAAGAAATTCATAGTTACTGGGGACTTTCCATGATTGTTTAGAGCTGACTAGCACTCAGTAGCTCCCTCTCCAAGAAGTATGGATGGACATCATTCCCTCCCCAAATCATGCTGCACATCTACATTGAGAAGTTCACTCTCACATTGTTACCTATATGGAATAAAGAGTGTTTTACAAGAAGAAAGATGCCCACAGAAACCTGTCCATTCCATCTGATCATTGAGAACTTGGTGCTATTTATGAAAGGAGAAGATAACACCTTCAGAGTACCAGAAAATTCCCTAACACCCCAGGGCTGTGCTGAGCAGCAGTCACACTCTTAAACTCCTTTTTCTCTTCTCTCTCACTTTAGCACTCACAACGTCCTTGACCTTGCTGTATCGTTCTCCTCCATGTCCACCAGCCCTTGCTCATTGCATGACCCCTTTAGTTTTCAAAAAGCCCTTCCTCAATCCCCTTTTGTCATCAGTTGATGTACAATAGACTCTACTATGAGGCTGCTTCTGGGTTTGTTTGCATTCTCTCTTCCTTCATCTCTACCCAGAGACATCCAGCAGCTTGTCTCATAATCTTCCTAGAGTTCAGAGAAAGCACATTCCTCTTTCTTTTTCCTGCCCTTCTTGAACATCAAACTGGCAAACTTTACCCGTATGTTATTCCTTTATTTGCAAATTAGGAGTTCCTTGTTAGGGAAAAGTGGGGAATGCTCCTGTTTCCCTGCCATGCAGTGTGTGGGGTTTTGCACAACTGCTTTGAATTCCAGCACTTTGGCATTTGTAGCCCTTGGAAGTGAGGACCCCAGCACCACATTCACCCCCCTGTCAACCACATGCTGGCTGGGGGAGATGTGCAGACAAGGAGGTCCTTGGCTCTGCTTATATAGAGCTATATTTGTACATTAGAAAAGCAAAGTGGTAAAACTGCAGCAGAGCAGAGGAAGGATTGATTTTGCTATTGGACAAGGAAAGCTCCATGCTTCACTTGGTATCGCTGCCGTCCTCCTGTTGTTGGGTAATTAATTAACACCAACAGTGTGTCTGAAGCTCTTCTAAAGCACAAACACAAGATTTGCATCAATGCTTTGCATTCTGGGCAGCCACAGGGAACATGGAAGCATCGGCACATCTAGAGAGAGGATACTCAGAAAAGGACAGATGGAGAGAGACCTTGGTGCCCTGAGCAGAATCCAACCATCCCTGAGAGCAGCTAAACGACTTCCAGACAGGAAAAGAATAGGAATTAATTTAGGAATTTTAATTCAAACGAATTTGCTTTGAATTAGAAATATTTTGGGTTTGATTTTTGTTGTTTTATTTTTCTTCCCCAGATATCCAGTAACAACGATCGTTGTAGGAAATCAAGTCAATTTAGTTGAGTTGTACCCAGAACAATTGCCAATATCCTTTTTATAAGTCTCCTCTGTCCTAGAAGATAGTTTTCATCTTCTCATGCATTTTTTTCCCCCTTCTGGATAAAAAGCAAAGAAAAACCTCCAAGTTTTGGAAGCATTTACAACCCTTGCTTCTTTCCTCTAGCCCCTCTACAGTTTGCCTTCATCTTTCTCCTACCTTCTCCTAGCACAACATC